CCTCTTCTTTTCAGTGCAATAAATAGAAAGAGCCTGCAACGAGGACTCAGATCTCAGTGACCTTAGGTGCCATTACTTGACTCTTACAGGATTTGTCTCCCCGTGGGAATAAATTGCCTTCCCCAGCCTGAGTTGGCATCCATATCAAATTAAGAGACCCATGCGCCCTGTATTAATGACTGACACCCTGCCTGGTAGGTGGCTGGCTCTAAGTGAATATTCCCTCCCTCGCTCTTTCCCACACCTGAAGCTCCTTCAACATGCAATCACAGAATAGACATTTATAGCCCTTTCACCCTCATGAACTTCTTTAGAATTCCTCTGCCAGTGATCCTGCGAATCTACTTACTATTTTCTTCCCCCATACTTATGTGACAGGCCACTTCTATCCCTACCCCTTTAGTGGGGAAAACCCAGGACACCCAAGGTGATGTGAACAGAGAGAGCTTCCTTTGCAAAGTAACTGTGGGCCAGGAAGGAGACACACCCCTTGGCCAAAGAAAGTCCAAACTTACAGTGTCTCTTTAAGCACCATTATGAAAGACCTCCAAGATTCATTATGTTAGGGCACCTGGGTGGCTCAGTGGTTAAGTGTCTGCCTTTGGCTTGGGTCATGATCCCAGGGTCCTGGGATCGAATCCCACATCAGGATCCCTGGAGGGAACCTGCTTCTACTTCTGCATGCATCTCTGCCTTTCACTCTGTGTCTCTCATGAATGAATAAATACAATCTTTAATTTAAAAAATTCGTTAAGTAAAACAAGCAAAATGCACAACGAGATGAATACTCTGTCACCTTTGCCGCATTTATCTTGACATACTAGAAATAGATACACAAGGCATTAATCGCATGGGTTGTGGGGAGCAGCAAAGCTACTGGGGACAGCTGGGGGAGGAGAGGTTACCACAACCCCTTTCATGACTTTTGAGCTTGCACCACATCCATAGAACCTCTTCTCAAAAAATGTTTATATACTTATAATTTTTTGTTATGTGTCAGGTGATTATGAATCCCTGACAGAAAGTCCAGGTGGATTGACCTTGGCAAAGCAAGGATGCCTATGAGCTATGTGCACGTAGTAGTTGTGCGAGCAGGGGTGTGTGTGGAAGCGGATGCAGGTAGGCCTGTGTGTAGGCGTGTCTACGTGTTGGACAGCTCCAGCATGACCAGAGGTAACAAGGAAGAGGATGTAACGTCCTATCAGGAGCAGTGTCCCACACGTCTGAGAAGGGAGCCCCAACTAAGTTCACACAGTTATACTGGGGGCAGGGAGGCACCTGGATTTTCAGGTGGACTTCCTCCACCACCCAAATCCCTTAATTTTATATAATTCAAATTCTATCATTAGCAACCTGGAACCAGGAAATGGCTAAATGTTCTTTAAGGTTCTACGCCTGTGTATAAGATGTAGCTGTGTGTAGGTATAAGGGTGCGGGGTGGTGTATCATGTAAGAGTGAGTGTATGGAGGGGTGTGTGTCTGTGGGTGCATGCATGTATGTGTGTGTGCATATGCAAGTGAGTGTATGTATGTGTGCACATGGAAGTGAGTGTGTGGGAGGTGAGTGTGTGTATGTGTGCTTTCACGCAGCAAAAAAAAGCAGAGAAGAGTATCCTCCCCCCAGTAAGTGATAGGCCCTTGGAATACAGCAGGTGGGTAACACTTAAGGACATCCTCCCAAATGGCCAGACTATCCACCTTCCCAGAAGTCAACAGCAACCACCCCGAAGGCCAGACCTAGGGCCCCATGGCCAGGTGATACTCACTATTAATACATCTGAATTTAGCATAGAGCCACAACAGATGCCCCCTCCCCTAGAACTCACCTTCACTCCATGTGGCCATGTCACCCAGTAGGGCTCTGAGAAGTCCAGCAAAGTTGGCCAGTGGGCAAACAGGCCCATCCTGAAGGAGCTGAGCTGAGCAGTGAGGCGCCCTGATCCCTGAGGGGTCTCGCCAGCAGGAAGGCAAACAACCACAAGCAGATTGAGGTGAGGAGGTACTCCTTCCAGTAAAGGCAGATACCTTACCTTCTGGGGGCACAGCCAGGTCACAGCCCTCCCATCATCCCCTCATTCAAAAAGGATGTGCTAAAAAATACTAGAGACACACATACACACAAAGAGGCTGAGGTAAATGGAAGAGAGAAGCTGAGGAGCAGGAGAAGGGCAAGCCTCTTTTATTATCCCAAAATGCAAAGTATTGAAGGCACTTACAATAACAAGGCAGGAGGGGGGTGGGGGTCAGAGCACAGAGGTAAATCATCGGGTCCCCTCCCTGGTCACCACCCGGCATGGAGAAGAGGAAAAGCTACAGGACCAGATCTGAAGCCAGTCGGGGTGTCTACCTCTACAAAAGGTACAAATCCATTCTACAGAAGATTAGAAAATGAGGAGCACACAGCAGCAAGGGGCAGGGCTGGCAGTCACAAGTTAGTGGCTCTGTAAGGAACACACTCGGCAGTGAAGAGGGCCCTCAGGTCCCCTGCTGGAAGAGGTCCCGGTACATCTCGATGAGACGGGCAGCCTCGCGCTGGCCAGAGAGCAGAGCACCATGGGTGGTGGAGTAGTACTTGCGGTGAGTGGCCTCACCCGAGAACAGCACCTGCATGGGCTGGGCCAGGGGACGGGGAAGTGAGGGTCGAGGAGCAAGAAAGGCTAGGAGGCTACCTGTCTGCCCCCAGGAACCGCCCCCCCATCCATACTACAAGTCAGAGAGCAAGCATCTGAGATGCAGGTATTGCTGCTTCCACAGGATGAGGACTTGCCCATCCCACCTGGCCACCTTCCCCTGTTTCTTCCCCAGACATCCAGGCCTCAGTTCTTTCTGCTCCGAGGCTGTCAGGAGTCCTGGTTCTGCAGTCCTGGAGGCTCACTGTGCCTCTTACTAGTGAACTCAGGGCAAGTGGCTTAACCTCCCTAGACCTTGATTTTGTCATCTGCAAAACAGGTTTATACCACCTACTTCTGAGGGTGGTTGTGAGGGTTAATTGAAATAATGTATCTAAAGTACTTAGAACCTGGAAGAACATAAGCACTCAATAAAGTTAGGTGGTAATTTAACAAACCTTTATGGAGCCCCTATTAAAGTCCAGGGACTGTTCTGGGCACTTGGAAGATAAAAGGTGACCGGGCTGCTGCTTTGAGGAGTTTCCTTGCTGGTGGGGAAGCCAGACACGAAACCCAATTACTAAAAGGTGCCACGTGTGACATGACGGGTGTTTGGGCAAGGTGCTGAGAGCCCAGAAAAGAGGCCCACAGTAAGGGGGATTGCACAAAGTTTCCCAGAGGACAAGACCATCAGGCTGCTTCTCAGAAGATGCTCGGTAAACAAACAAGCAAATGACATTTCAGGAAGAAGGAAAAACGGGGGCAAAAATGCACCAGAGCAAGGGACAGTGAGAATTTTGGTATAGCCAGGGCTCAACCTTAAGAAAGCAAGCTCTCTAGGTGGGATCCAGGTGAAGTACGAGTGCCTGCATCCCAAGCTTGAGTTCAGGCTTTTATCTCACTGTATCTCAAACTGAATGTGCAAAGGCACCAAACCGGGGACCCTGGGAGAATGTAGTTTTTAATTCAGCAGGTCTAGGGAGTGCTGTGAGTCTCCATTTTGAAAGCACTCTCACTTGATGCTGGTGCTGCTGGTCCACAGACCACTTACTTTGAGTAGGGAAGCTTTAACCCACCAACAAGGAGGCTGCAGAGGCAGTTAAGCTGTAGGAGGGCAGGGTGGGTGGGGTGCATATTGTGGCAGAAGGCAAGTGTGCCTACTCCCACATCCATTCTCCTCTTTCTCCTAGTAACAAAGCCCTGATTTTTAACTGGGTCCATTGTCATCCAGAATAAAAATGATGCTTCCCAAACCCTTTAGCAGCTGCTATAGGCAGGTGACTAAGTTCTGGCCAATCAGCTTCAAGTGCACTGTTGTTTAGAGGCACTGACTCAGCCCCGAGGGGTTCCCGTCTTCTGTCCCTCTACCTGTCACAGACTTGAGAGTGGCAACCTTACAGCCCTCTAGAACCACAGAGTGGCCCTGAAGATGGAGCTGGGTGCCCATGATACAGGGTCCTGACATCTACCTCTGGATTTCCCTTTGTATGAAAGAAGGAAACTGTCTGGTTTAAGCCCCAGTTACTTTCCTGTTGTGTTGCTTTGTGCTGTAGGCACTAGTCCTAACCGATGCAGGTGACAAGTGAAGGTTTGGTTTTCAGGAAGGTGGCTGTAGCAACAGGAAGGGCCTCTTCCTCTCTCCTGCTGAGCACAACCACGGCATGCACAACACATGCTGGAAATCTTCTTCACCAATTACACCAAAGAATCGTCTTAAATATAATTCTGTTGGGGTTCTAACATTGATTGTATGTGTAGGCTTGGTGGGGGAAACTCAAAATCCACTTTATAAGAACAGAAATATATACAACGTTTCTCTCAGATTTATTATTTTTCTCTATTATTTATTATTGAGTTGATATAATTTGGGGGAGGGTCAGTATTTTTTATTTTATTTTCTGAAACATATTAGGGGGAAAAAGTAAATAAAACATATTGGGGAAACTTACTTCTTATTGAATCACTGCTGTCCAACAGAACTTTCCATGATGATAGAAACGTTCTCACACCGCAGCCACTAGGCACATGTGACTATCAAATTTGAAATGTGGCCAGTGCAACCAAGGAACTAAATATTTAATATATTAATTTCAATTTTAATTAATTTCAATTAAATGTGGTTAATGGCTGCCATATAGGACAGCAGAGCATGAAATGGCTCAGCTCTTACAACCTCAATAAAGCATTTAACATCTCAATTTGATCCCATCTTTTCTTCCAGATGTTAAGTGCACGTCTTTCTTTTCTCCTTCAACACAGAAGTTACTCCATCCATCTCAGCTTGGCACCCCTCAGTGAGCACCGCCCGCCCTCTCGCCGGCCAACCAAACCCGCATACAAAACCCCTGCCCCCAGCCCCACAGGCCCTCCTCACCCTGCACCCATGCTCACCGCCATCTTGGAGCTCTCAGTGTATGGCAGAGGCTTGGCCAGCTTCTCTACGTCTGTCCCACTGGAGCCCACCTGCGTGTACGAATAGGAGCCTCGGAAGTATGGGTTGCTGCCCCAGGCTGAGCGCAGGATTCGCCGTGGTTTTGGAATGTTGGGGTTCCCTGTTGGGAAAGAGCCAAGAGGAAGGAAGATAAGAAATGGCTGCACACAGAAGACACCACTGAGCAGGCAACCACCAGTCCACCGCTAAGGCCAGGCCCCTGCGGGGAGGCAGGGGAGACGCGGGAGGAGGGAGCAAGACTGGGGCTCTAGCTGTTTAGCTCAAAGTGCCTCCTTGTGGAACCAACCGATACCCTGCTATCCCGGCAAAACAGCTCATCACTTAGGGGTCCTAATTTTCCTATAGGAAAAAATATTCCAGCTCATCATGTTTCCTCTTCCCATTTCAGGGGGTCTCATCAAGCTTTTCTGGAACAATGGATGAAAAGTGTTCAACTAAAAGAATCAGACAATGAAATGCAAATCCATCTCAGAGCAGGACAGTGTGAGTAGGAAATGGGCAATCTGAGGTTTGGGGGTGATACCTGAGTTTTTTTTTTACCATCACCCCTTAGAAGAAACATAGTGCCCATGGTTCTGCATGTTTCTTTTTTTTCTTTTTTTTTTTTTTGGTTCTGCATGTTTCAAGTTCCAAGGCGGATAGTGGGGAGGAGCCTGCCATCTGTGAGCCCAGCCCTGCACCCCCTTTGGCAGCTCTCCCAGTAGGCATGCCCCTCAGCTCAGTGGCACAGTCTGGGGCTGCGGAGAGATCCAGCAGGTGCAGGAGATGCAGAGGATGGAGCAGAGGATGGGACAGGACCAGGGGCTGGGGGTGGACCAGGGCTGGGAGGCCAGTGCAGGCCCAAGGCATGGGGAACATACCTGTGAATTGCCGCAGCATCTCTGTGCAGATCTCAGCCACCGCCTCATCATCGCACTTCTCCATGACAAGGGCCTCCTCGCCGCAGATCCAGCCGCTCAGCACGTGGCCATAGCGCTCAGGTGGGTAGAGCACGTCAAAGCCACAGATCTTGCGGTACCAGAGCTCAGGTGGGTAGGTGAGGGTGCGGCTCTCCGCCTCGTCCTCCCACACAAACTGTAGGCTGTTGCACTCGGGGCCCCAGAAGGGCTCCTCAAATTCCAGAAAGATCTTGTCAGTGGTGCCGATGCCCAGGCGGTGGATGGCAGCCACCTTCTCAGCAGGCAGGCCTGGCCGGAAGAAGCTGGTGTACTGCCTCTTGAGCACACCCAGCGACACGGTCACGATCACATGGTCCGCCGGGATCACCTCACAGTCCTCACACTCCACCAGCACTGGCCACTGCTTGTCCTCATCCCGCCCATCCCCCTGGGGCTCCTCTCCCCCCTGGTCGCCCTCCCCGGCGTCATGATTGTGGTCACCTTCGCCTCGGGGCTCAATCTCAGGGCCCCGGGGGCGGGCCGAGGCCTGGTCCCAGTGCACACAGCGGACAGGTTTCCCCAGCTGGATGACATGGGTGGGGATGCCCTCAGCCAGCAGCTCCACAACCCGCATGAAGCCGGAGGGGATGATATGGTGGGCCCCGGGGATCTCGGTCCACTCCCCAAAGGCGCTCAGGGACACCTCGTCCATGCTGTGTGAGCTACTCTCACAGCTCTCCACCTGTGGGAAGAGCCAGAGAGGAGCTGGGTGACCACCAGGGCCTGGTCGGGGTCAAACAGGGCCTCAAAGCAGCACCACCCCCCTTGGACCCAGACTCCCCAGAATCCATCTTCCTCCCACTGGCACCCGTATTCAACAAAGCTCTGGGCAGACAAGAATACCTTGAGGTACTGCTGGATCATGGCGAGCTTCAAGCACTTGGTGGCCTCCGGGTCCTCAGGGTCATCCCTGATGCGGTTGCGCACCTCCTCCCGGGTGAACACCCCCACGCTGTTCTGACTCTCAGCATTGACAGGTTTACCATGCCGGAAGAACTCCTGGGTCAAGTTATAGACCTGCCAGAGAGATCCCAGGAGACTGGAAACACACTCCCTCGCCCCACCTCCATCTCAGGCCAAAGAACCCCAACTCAAAAGTCCCCACCTTCCAGGTGTCCCCAGATAGGCTGAGCCCACAGCTCCTCTTCCTTGGTGGGTCAGTGTGGCACTTAGTGCTGCACTCAGGCTGTACCAACAGGGCCAACGTTCAGGCTGGCAAGCTGCCCTGGGTAGCCAGCCTCCTTGCTTCCAGGACTGCCCTCTAGGACCCTCCTGGGTCTGTGAGGGAGGAAGGGAGCCCTGGAGGCTCACTTGCTGGGCCCTTGCTGAAAATAAAGTGGAATATTTGGTACCTGGTGGGAGAGGAACCGTGTGGCCACACAGACCAACCACTAGAGAACCCAGGTCTGCATGCATTTCCTTTTTCTCAGAACCACATACCCAAATCCTTTCCCTGCCACTCCTGCCCGAGCCTTTCTGCTTCACCCTCTCCCAGGGGGCCAGTGTTTGGGGGGGAAAGGGAGCAGAAGGAGCCCTGAAATCTGAGCTCCCAGGAGATCCTCCCAGGCTCTGCTTGGGTGCACACAAAGTGCCCCTTTTACTTCAGAACCCAGACTTATGTAAGCAAGATGGCCATGTTGGGGCAAGATGTGTGGCAGGAGGGAGGCCCCAGTGTGCCGAGGAATGAAAATACATTTCACAGGCATATTCTGGCAAGAACTTCAACCCACACCTTATCAACAGAGCAACAAACAGGCCCTTGGAGCACAGTCCTGCTGCCTCTCCTGCCTGCGGGGCGCATAACTCCCACCAAACATTGGGCTGGTCTCCCTGAGGAAAGTGTGAGTCTTGGGTCAGGCATGGCATCCCCAAAGGGCAAGGTCTGAGCCCCAACATTCACTCAACAAACATGTACTAGGCTGTGCCAAACACAGATTATAATGGTGAACAAGACGGACATTCCCCTGCCCTCACTCAAATGGTTTCTATATGATGCTCTGTGACAGGGAAGAACACAAGGGTTTTGAGATCAGCCCAGATGACCTTGGACAGGTGGCAGTGAGAGAGAGAGGAAAAGATGAGGGAGAGGAGAGAGAATGCAAGTGGCTCAGTCTTGCAGAAGTGGACTGCAAGCGAGGAAAGAGAAAGTTACAAGAGATAACTTTGAAAAGACAGGCAGGGGGTGGAGTAGGAGAGATTAAGAGTCATGTCAAGAACTCTGCACCCTGGTATCACTGAAGGGTTGTGAGCATGAGCGCACACCCACTCTCCCTCCCAGTACACTGACAGATGTGGGCTCTTTGGCCAAACTCTGTGACTGGTGCCAATTTGTGTGACTCCCCCTCCTAAAGTGAGTTTGAACTTGGTCAGCCCACGTTCATGGCAATGATGTCTGCCCTATACCCCAGCCCTGGTATAGGCCCTGGGGCTGCACAGTAGAGGAAGGAAGGTGACATTGCCCATCCCCCACCATTCCACTCAAGGGAAAAGCCTCTACATGAGATAGAAATATGAATTAAACATGTCTCTGAGTATATAATATAAAGAAGAAAAGGAGTTAAATTGTTTGCTTTTCCTCCCTACAGTCACAAGATGCTGGGCATTTGGCCTTAACTGGAGTCCTCAGCAAATTCCTCATCCGGCAACTAACTGCCAAGGAGTCAGGCTTTCAGCTTGCCTCCTCCTCCCTGGGTTTTTTCCTTTGGTGATAAGCAACATGGTAGCCAGTCTTCAGCTCATGTTGACTAAAGGCTGGAATGTACAGCTGGGAGTGATAAATTTAGTCTATCTACATGATTCTTTGTGTCAAAAACCAATCGGGTCAGCCTTAACTGAACATGGCTTTGTCATATAACTAGTCTCCTGTCCTGGATTAAATTACATCTTCCCAATGTGACCAAAGGAAATGGTACAAGCCTGTGACAACTAATACCGCAATTTTCATTAAGCGCTTTTCATCAGGATCTCATTTAATCCTCACAACACTCTGAAGTAGATTTAACTATGTCCATTTTACAGGTGAGGAAAGTAAGAGTCAGAGAGCCTCAACAACTTGCTCAAAATCATACAACTAATAAATGATAGAACTAGCATTTGAATCAAAGTAGTCTTGCTTCAAGGGACCAAGATCTATATGATACTAGTGCACAAACTCATTTATTTGTTAACCAATATAATAGATTCAAATGAGCAGCCCTTCAAAATCATCACCTTCAAAGGAAGGCTGCATATTTATTATGAAGCCACCCTCAGGCAGGGCTTCACATGCTTAGAGCATGCCTCTTCAGAATGGCCTCCAGCATTGGTTAAGGGCCACACAAGGAAATCTCTCTTTCCTCATGGCTAACACTTCCTCCTTCTGAACCAAAGTATCACAGCTCCAACTGATAACCCACCTTAACCATCCTACTCTCCACAGCTCACACTCTTAGCTTTCAAAAATCAAACCCACAAACAGAAGCTGATGATGATCTACTTTTAAGCACATTTAAGAGAATGAGCAAGTCATAGACCCTGAAAGTCATTCTCAAGAGGCATCCATGCTTAAAGCACTCACAATGACCTGGAAATCAGGATGTGACTAATTCTCAGTAAGCCAGAAAGGTCTACTTTGAAGAATACTAGTCCTTCTCTGCTCATTAACAATTTGGTCTCTTTGTCCATGAGCGAGAACAAAAAATACCATGGGACTGCATGCAACATATCTTGTGGGTGCACACACAGAAGTCACTGTGTGCCTGCCCTCCACTGAGCAAGGACTATCCCCAAAGCAAGAGTCATTTCTCCTTTCCCATGCCGGAGAGACAGAAAATGCGCAGTAGGTGCTTGTTGGCCAATTTACTGACCTGGAGTGAAGGATCATTACACTACAAATGACAAGCTATCAGAAGGCAGGACCTACATGCTACCTTGCTCTTTAAGTGCAGTTCACAGCACCACTGAAAGATACTAAAAGCGTCAACATTTTTTTAAAAATCTGAATTAGGGGCTCCTGGGTGGCTCAGTGGTTGAGCATCTGCCTTCGGCTCAGGTCATGATCCCAGGGTCCTCGGATCAAGTCCCACATCAGGCTCCTTGCAAGGAGCCTGCTTCTCCCTTTGCCTATGTCTCTGCCTCTCTCTCTGTGTCTGTCATGAATAAACAAATAAAATCTTTAAAAAAAAATTTTAAACCTGAATTAGACAAAGATGTGTGCCATTGCCACTTCTATCCAACACTGTACTGGAGACACTAGCCAGTGCAATATGGCAAGAAAAGAAATAGGTCTCAGGCTGTGCTGTCCAATAGAGTAGATACTAAACACTGGTAGCAATATAAAATTAATTAAATACTTAGCTCCTCAGTATTAGTAGCTACATTTCAAGAGCTCAAGACTCAAATGTAGCTAATGATTACCCTACTGGATAATATGGGTCTAAAGCATCTCCATTATTATAGAAAGTTCTACTGTACAATGCAGGTCTGAGGATTAGAAAGAAACAAACAAAATTATCGTTTTTTGTATAGTATTATATACACAAAATTCTAAAATATTAGAATATAAACTAATATGTTGATATAATATTAGCATTAAAATAATACTTTATCAGGGTAGCTGAAATTAATATATAATAATCAGTTATAGTTCTATATGCTGGAAAAATTAGAAAATAAAATTTAAAAAAAAATCACCACTTACAAGAGTATCCAAAAGCAATAACAATAATCACCACTGAAGCACCTAGTAATAAATCTAACAAAATATTTTTTTAAGATTTATTTATTTATTTGAGAGAGCAAGGGGAGGGGCAGAGGGAGAAGGAGAGAAATCTTTAAGCAGTCTCCCCACTGAATGCAGAGCCCAATGCAGCCGATCCCAGGATCTCAAGATCATGATCTGAGCTGAAATCAAGAGTCAGATGCTCAACCAACTGAACCACCCAGGCCCCCTCTAATAAAAGATGTTTAAGGCCTTTCTAAAGAAATATTTAAATCATCTATATCAATGGTCTCTTACCTACTACTTCTCCACTCATAATCTCCATTCTGTCCTCAAATTGTCCTGATTTTCCAAATACAGGACCCACAGAGTGTGCAAAAACATGACCAGAATCACAGAAGACCGCCACAGGTCACACAACTCCCCCCATTCTGCCAATGTGCTCCCTGCCTCACACAACTCATGTGCCCGGCTGCCTTGCTAACACCTCACCTCGTTGTATAAATCGCTGAATTCCTCAACCACGTCCTTGGGGATCCTGCGGCCATGGTTGGTGAGGTAGCAGGCCACGCCATTCTTGGAGTAGAGGCTGATGCGGCCCACGCTGCGCTCCCCATCAGTTGTCTCTTCCAGGAGGCCATTGGCTTCTGCTAGATGATAGATGGGATTCCCGTGGGAGCCATGGATCCAGGTGGCTCCCAACTCAAAGGTGGCGTGTCCTGATGGTGACAACAACAGGCCCTTAGAGGGGCAGGGACTCCTTCAGAGAGGGCCAGAACACTACCTCACCCTTCTTCCTCCAAGAGGATCCTTTCACCCCCACAATAGGGCAGGAAGGGAGTCAGGTCCTTGTCTGGCAACCAATCAAAGTCTTCAGTGAAACGTTCCCAGTGGAAACTACATGTAGCACAATATGGGTTCTGCTTCACAGCTGAGATAACTGCCACCCTGAATAACTTTGTGATTGCCCCAGTTACTTCACTGGACTAGTTAGAAGACTCTCTTTGTCCATCCTGTCTTTGTCTAACACAGCACCAGACACTGGACCCTCCTTCCTCATTGGTGACTCAGGAGATATTCTGTGGGCATCTGAGGATACAGTGGTCCCAGTAAGGGGAGTGAAGTTACCTGAAATACCCAGTAAGGAGACCCAGGAGGAGGGCCTCTGGCCCAAGGTCCTCATCTGACCTTACTCCAATTCCTCAACATCTCCAAGGGCCCCAGACTCTAAGCCCCGTCACAGACAGAAAGTGACCCCCCTCCCAACTCAGTCTGGGGCAGAGAAGAGACAGTTAACATTCTAGTTTGGAATACTTCTCCCCAAGGACTCCCCAGGCAGTCTAAAATAGACTTCCAGAGAAGATCAATCTCTCTCATCCTAAGGCAGAAGAACATGACAGAACCCTGGAAGTCTGACTAGGGTAGGGGGCAACTCCTGGACCCAAGCTGAGACTGGACTAGGGCTGGGGCTGGTTTTACCACCCCATCCACAGCCAAAGTACCAGATGCTTTGAGGCAAGCTAACTCTGTGCCTGGACCTCAGTTTCCTCTTCTGATGCTACAGGGACTGTGGCACACTGTCTCCTTCCTTGCCTAGCTCTCAAGGAAGTTGAAACAATGAAAGGAGAAGAAAGGAACATTTTTTTTTCATTTTGTTTTGTTTTGGAGGACTGATTCAAGAAATCATGTGCAGTTAACTTTTTTGCCAAGATGATCACAATAATTCCTCCTATCCATGTACACATGGCCCTTTGCAACGTGACCTTGCTAGTCCTCCCATCAAGAGGTGGGGTCTATTTCCCCATCCCCTTGAATCTGAGCTGGACTTGTGACTTGCTTTGATTAATAGAATGCAGTGATGTCTGTGACTTCAGAGCCAAGGCCTCAAGAGATATCATGGCTTCCACATTCCCTGTCTTAGAATGTGACCATGCTGGAGAGGCTTATCCTGCTGGAGATGTGTGGCTCAGCCAAATGCCAGTGCCAACCAGCAGACAAATGGGTAAGGCTGTCTTAGACAAACCAATCCCAATGAAGCCACCAGATGACTGCAGCTGAATGGGAGATCCCAGGCAAGAACAACAAAAGAACCACCTAGATCAGTCCAGCCCAAATTCTTGACCCACAGAATTTAAGCAAATAACATGATGCTGTTTTAAGTTGCTACAATTGGCGGTGATTTGTTATGCAGCAACAGCTATCTGATACACCATAACAGACAACAGTATCACCCCTCACCACAGGAACTGGACATTCCTTTTTGTGTGTACCTTCCCTCTCCTGGGTTGTGTCTAATTAAACTACCAGTTACTAAAAATAGCCCTGTATATGCTATGTGCCAAACACACACAAGAGAAAAGGCAATCAACCTCATGCCATAGCCAGTGAGACAGAATTTCCCGTTGTCTATGGAGGAAGAGGCAGGAATGTGTATGTCTCTTTGTCCAGGAAAAGTGGGCAGACTGAAGGCACAAGAAAACTAAAAACCCAGTGCCCTATCTCCAGGCTTGGGGTTCCCCAAGGTATCTTGCCTGATTTGAGCTCCCAAGAGAAGAAGGGGACCAGCACTTGGTGAGGAGCATGGGTCCTCCCCAGGGCATGCCAGGGAGCTCCAAATTACACAGTCACTGGGTAGGAACATCCAAGCCTGGGGCACCCTTCCTGGCTCCACATGTGGCACAAGCAGGAATGAGGTGAGCAGCTTGAGGTCAGCAGCAAGGTCAGCATCCCACCGCTATTTGTGAGGCTCTGTGAGGACGCAGGGTGAGCAGGCCCCAATCTGAAGATATTTCCTGCCCTCTTCTATCTGCCCCTCTGTGCTGTGATCCTTGACACCCCTGAATTGAAGGGCACCAGCGCCATATCTTCATCTACCCCACAGCATTCCCGGAGCCTCTGGCCCTCGACACCTGCTCGATACCTCTGAGATTGACAGCTACCATCTCACACTGCAGCAGGTCCAGCTGCAGCCTGGGCTTTCAGCCCTGCATGACTACACACAATACATGCAAATTTGTCCTTCCCTGGGTATGCTCTCCCCGCTCCTGGCGGGGTCTGCCTCGATCTTCTTCACATATATCACTCTACACATACTGCCCCTTCCTTCTGCTCACCCAACTCCCCCGATCACCAAGCTCCCCCAACTCAGGAAGGCTTCTGCCACCAATACATGGTGCATCCCCCTCAGTGCCCTGTAGCCCTGCACTTCCACCTCACTGCCTGTACCATGCACGGTATGTGTCAGCTATCAGTGACCACCAAGACTGGGCCCTGCGTCCTCTTATCTTCTGCTTCTATGTCACACACTGAATGTCTTATCAAGACTCAAGAACCACAACCGGAGCTGCCTCTTCCCTAAGGCTCCCAGCCAGCCAATCAGATGTCGAGCAAAGAATCCCAGGGCTTCCCTCCTGGCTGTCCCCAGGTTTATGAGTGCCTTGGACGGCACTTTCATCCTCACTGCCAACACACACTCCTGTGTGTGCCAGCAGAAGACAGACGCAACCTCATATACGCCTTCCAGGAAATGCTCTAGAAGACTCGCAATGTATCAAAGTTTCTGAAAGAGAAAATGGCCCCATATGTGTCCTCAGCATCTGCTCATTCTAAGTCTGACCACCTATGTCCCAAAGTCAGTTTCCACATCCATCAAATGTGGGCACATAATGTCTGCGTGGCCTTGCTGCCCCATGTGGGAACAGACACTGATACAAAATCTCCTGGAGGGTCAACACAGCATGTGCTTTAGGCCATCATGCATGGTCCCTACCCACTCAGACTCTCAGTGGTCAGATCCCCTGGCTGGGAGACGCTGACCTCCAGCTACATTTCAGGCAAGTTCCCCACCCTTTAGGACCCCTGGTGAAATCTATCCACCCCTGGGGTAAGTCTCTTACCTAGCTACTTTCTCCAGAGTCTTCATTATCTGCAACCTAGACAGAGCCTCTTCCCAGACAAACCTAAGATCTGCCCATCACCCACAAATCCCAACCACCTCTATTGCCCTGAGCTCCCAATTGTCCCAGGACTAGCTCTCAGTCACGATATACTAATTCACACTCAAGAGTTAATGACTAATAAAAACGTACAGAATTCCTCTTCTTGTGAAGTACAAACTGGTCCACCCACTGATAAGACAGTTTGGTCTGGGTCCTCTCCTTCCTAAACACTGTGATCTTAGGTCATGTTCTAAAAACAAAGGCCAGAGCCCCATCCCGCCCACCTCAGAGGGCTGCTCAAAGGGCAACAGAAGCTTCTGGTAATGCCCAGCCAGCATGTATGATGGAACATTTAATGCGGGGGAAAAACCAAAATAATGAGATTTCAGGCAGGGTCGAAGCACTGAAGGATAAAAGATGACCTTGGCTTAGGAGTCAGGGAGTGGAGGCACTTACCAAGTTTCACACTCTGCACACGGCCTCCGATGCAGCTGGAAGCCTCAAGCACAGTGACATCCGTGAAGCCCTGCTCCAGAAGTGCTTTGGCTGCAGCCAGGCCAGCCAAGCCAGCACCAATCACCACCACACGAGGCTGTCCCCTTCTCCGTAGGCCACAACTGAGAGGGTCATCCGCACTGTCGCCACTGGATTCACAACTTTGCATACCGTCCGCACTGGCCTCCTAGGAACCTGCAGGCAGCAGGGGTATCACAGCTTACCTGCTCTGCCTTCACTGCCCACCTGCCCTAAGGAAGACTCATGAGCTCTGTCCTCAAAGGGGGAGAACTCGAGCCCTCCTGTTCCTCCTGAGACCTGGACCAGAGGAGCCATCTCCCAAGAACATGGCAGGGAGGAGAACAGAGGGAAGAAAAGAGGTAGGGAAGATACACTGTGAGCCCCCACGAGCAAGCAGGACTGCTGGAAGCCCACTCTAAGCCCCTGAAATCCATCAATCCCATCCCAAGCCTGCTAGGCACTGCCTCTTCCTCACACTTGTGACAAGAGCCAGTTAGGAATGACCAAAAAGGCCAAAGTCAGGCGAGACTGTTGACACCACTGACCCTGAACCAGCCTGCCCAAATACAGCTGCTGTGGTCCAGGTCACACCAACCCCAGATCCTCACACAGACCTTAGGATGCTCACATGGACCCCAGGATGCTCCCACAGACCTCAGGACTCTTGCATACACAGCGCTGGAGCCTCTACTTTCCCTCCCTTGCGTGGTTCTTCCCTGGCACTCTCCTTTACCTCCTTCTCTCCTCCTCCTTCTCTCCTCTCCTTTCTGTTGTCTTTCACAGCCTGAAAGAAGTGGCAATTTGGTGGGCAGGACAAAGTCCCACCCTCCCCCACCACCACCAGAGAGTGCCACGAGGCTGGTATCGGACAAGCCTCTGCTATTCCGGGTAGGTCTCTGGTTGTTTTCTCCAGCCACCCAGCCCCTCAGTCACCGCAAAGCAGCAAGGAGCCCAGGAAACGGTGGACTGTGAGGACCCATGGCACCAGAGGCCAGACATCAAATTGACAGTTACACTAGCCAGCTTGTCCAGAGACGCCAGGCTAGAGAGCTGATGGCTGGGAGGCCAAGGGGGGTCCCTGAGTTGCCCCAGTGCTGGGAGAGGCTACCCTTCTATTCCCAGAGTGACCACGAGGGTTTGAAGGTGTCTGTGGGCCATCCCAAGGAGCCACTCAGCTCTGATCCTGTCCCTATTCCCCCTCTGCCCCAAGCAACTTTGATTCCAATGGTCTTTGCTGAGGTTTCAGTGGCAGAAGCTCCAGACTCTTAACAGCATTTAGGACCTAACAATAGAGGAAGAAGGGTGGGCGGAAGGTGGCTGCTGGGCGGTGGAGTGGACAGGGAGCATAAAAAAATGTCTCTCAGGGATCCCTGGGTGGCTCAGCAGTTTAGCACATGCCTTTGGCCCAGGACACGATCCTGGGGTCCCGGGACTGAGTCCACGTCGGGCTCCCTGAATGGAGCCTGCTTCTCCCTCCTCCTGTGTCTCTGCCCCTCTCTCTCTCTCTCTCTCTCTCTCTCTCTCTATGTCTATCATAAAAAAAATAAATCTTTAAAAAAAAAAACTGTCTCTCATACCTAATAAAGCTCAGCATAACCCTTCCAATGACATAGCAGTCACATCCCCAAGAATAAACCCAAAAGAAGCAGGGCAGAGTCCATCAAATTGACATGCTAAAGAATGTTCATAGCAGCTTTATTTATAAAAGCAAAAAAAAAAAAAAAAAAAAACAGAAGCAGCCCAAAAGGTCCAGCCACAGAAAAATGGATAAATAAATTGTGCTATGTGTAGCATTTTCATTCAAGGGAATATTCTTCAGCAAAAAAAAAAAAAAAAAAAAAAGCATCAAATCATGGATACCCTTGACCATTGCATTGAACAAAAGAAGCCAGAGACAAAAGAGTACATATTGTATGACTCCACTTAGGTGAAGCTCATGAAAAGGTGAGGACAGAAGAGAGATTGGGAGGAAGGGAACCACTGAAAAGGGAATGACTGGAAAGAGTCAGGAGGTGGGACGCCTGGGTGGCTCAGTGGTTGAGCGTCTGTCTTTGGCTTAGAGCCTAATTCCAGGGTCCTAGGATGGATCCCCTAATTGGGCTCTCCTTAGGGCACCTACTTTTCCCTCTGCCTATGTCTCTGCCTCTCTCTGTGTGTCTCATGAATGAATGAATGAATGAATGAATGAATGAATGAATCTTTAAAAGAGAAGAATGTCAAGAGGAAACTTTCTGGGGTGGAAGGAATATGCATCTCGATCTGACTGGTGGCCACACAGTGTACATTTAAACATCCACTGACATTTCCCTTGGGGTTGTAATAAAACCGAATGTTGTGTGCCCCCCCCAAAAAAAAATAATAAAATAAAAAAAAAATAAACATCCACTGACTTGGACGTTTAGGATTTGTGCCATTAGTTATATGTATGTGTATACCTCGATCACTATTCGGATATCCATTTCTGGCCCAAAAGGGGGGCGGGGGGTAGAAAGCAAAGAAGCTCCCCCACGGACTTCCTTCTCGCGCCTAGAGGTCTGACCCCTAGAGCTCCCGTCCCACCTTGCACCGCACCCTCCAACACCTCTCTCGCATAGGTTTAGCAAAACGGTTTTTTTCTAAGTACGCCGAGGAGGCTGCGCAGGGGCTCGGCCCGCCTGCCGACGCCGCTCGGGCACCGGGGCTAGGGCGGCCACGTCCCCGCCTCCCGCCCGCGAACAACCTGCAAACCCCCGCAGACCAGACCGAGGCCGGCCGCGGGCGCCCAGCGCTTCCCCAGGCGGCCGGGAGGTGGCGCCCGCGGCGGGGCCCTCCGAGGCCGGGTCTCCGTGGGGGCCGGGTTCCCCACCCTCCTTCCAGGGGAGACGGGTCGGCAGTCGCCCCTGCGGTCCCCTCCCTCCTCCCTCGGTCCCTCCCCGCCCCCTCCAGTGGGGCGCTGTGGGGTTCTGGGAGCCCGGGGCGGCGGCTCGCGTCCTGCCCTCCCACCCGCCGGGCCCAGGTTCTCCTTCCGGGGACTAAATTTAGAGGGGAGGGTGTGGCTGCCCGCCCCCGGGGCCAGCGCGGCCTGGGGGGGTGTTGGGGCGACGGGGCCGGCGTCAGGTTGGTAAACACGCCCGCACTGGGCTCAGAGCTGCTGCTGACGCCACCTGCCGGGCTGCCCCGCTCCCCGCGATGCGACCACCACTGGAGCCCCCCCACCCCCACCCCACCCCACCCCCCGCACCTCAGGCCAGGACGGGACACTGCGTGCTGCTCTCCGGGCTCCGTCCGCACCCCCTGCCCCGGGACCACCCTCCAAAACCGCCTCGCTTGTACCACAAAAGAGGGGACTGCCGCAGGGGTCTCACACCTGGTACCCCCCACACTTCTTGAAAAACTCCCGTAGGGCCCAGAGCGGCGGGGAGGGGGGTCCCCACTCCCTTCTGAAGTCACTTCACAGAACCTCCAGTCTCTGTGGGCCACTGCTTCTGAAAACCCCGGGTCTAGTTCATCTGGAAGCTGAACAGGGGAAGGAATAGATGGGACGCAGCACCTTCCCAGCAGGCTACTTGAGCTTCCTGGCTAACCTCAAAAGTGGCCGGCTTGTCCTCACTACCTTGTTGTGATAGTCAAATAAGTCCCTACGTGGACGTTTGTCACAAGATTGGCAATATATGCCAAAGCCTCAAGTGTGAAAGGCATCTGTAAAGTTCTGTAAATTGTAAGCAGAGTGCCTTTGGGTTGGGGTTCAGAAATACACAGTGGGATATGGCAGGTGGGTACTTTGCCTTTCAGATGAACACAGGAAGAACCCTGGGCTCCCAATGTTACCAGACAGAGACTTAAACTTGAACACGGGGCACGCGGTCGAAGTAGGGAAGCAAGGGCCAGGTGGGTCACCTGCACCTCTGATTTTCACAAGGAATCCCACCGCCCAGTTCCCTCCAAGGCCTTGTCCCAGATGGGACTGCCAAGGAGCCTGAAAAGCCCTATGCACAGCCCACAGAGGGCAGAGGGATGAGGAGTCCATCCCAGGGGACCCCACATCAACCCATGGAGCCAACACATCCTTGTGTCCAAACTGAAAGGGGCAGAGAAAAATCATGTGCAAGAACACCTACTGTGTGCCAGGCCCTCAGCTAACCCCTGAACTGGACCTTCCAGTGCTCTGTTATCTCCAGCCAGAGTGGAGAGGAGGGGGTGAGAAGCAACTTGTTTTCTGTTGGTTTGTGGCATCTTTTTCTATCAGGTTTTTTTTGTTGTTATTGTTTTCTTTGTTCATTTGTTTTAATTTTATGAAAAAGTGGCTTATGGAGTAAGAAGACTCACTTAATGCTCCTCCATGCCTGCCCGTCCTTCTCTTGCCTTTGGGAAATAAATAAATAAATAACATCCGCTCCTTGATCTGTATGCACAGGAGAAACAGAACACCCTGTACTTTTCGAGCAGATAAAGGAGAGAAGAAAAAAGTGCTGGCTCAGCCAGGCAGGGAGGAGGAGGAGGGGTGGGAGAGGAGGGAGGCGCAGGGCAATAGACACTTGTCTTCTTGCTCCTGCTTCCATGGCAAAATGAGAGTGGGAGCCTGAAGCTCCCATGTCCTCAAGCAGGCCAAGCCTAGTAGCTTCAAGAAATCAGGCCAGCCATGGCATGACCATCCCACCCTCATTCAGAATGCCCTACTGCCTCCCTCCTGACCTCTGCTCAGGCCTGGGAGCCACCACCTCCCCCTGCTGCCCAAAGCCAATACTGCCTTGACTGAACCTGCCCAAGAAGCCAATCTGGAAAGAAGGCAGCAGGCGAAGAGAGGAAAAGAGGGAAGAAAGGTGCTGTCCCTGTGGCAGAGTCACCCAAGAAATAAAGATGAATACTAGGAGGCCAGGCCACAGGAGGGGCATTAGCAGCCAAGCATGTGTCCACTGCCATCCCCCCACACACATTTTCTCTCAACACACTTACCAGTTTCATTGCATCACCCTCAATTTTACCCTCCAAGAAATGCCTCCTAATTGCCAAATACCAGAGACACGCTTTAGTTCTGGCCTCCTCCTGAGCCCCTCTTGGAAATGCCCAGAACTGAGCTGGGGGCACTATCTATCTCCTTATGCTTCCCCATCATGGTTAAAACCGCTGGACCATGGCAGCCCCGGTAGCTTGGCGGTTTAGCGCCGCCTTCAGCCCAGGGCGTGATCCTGGAGTCC